ATTATTATTATTATTATTATTATTATTATTATAGCAGAACAAGCTTTTTTTTTGACAAAAACATCTTAACTTATTTTATTATTTGGAGGCGGCACAAATTGATATATGTATGCATGCATGCATGTATATTAATAATTTATGTTTATGAAAACATACTTATATAGGCATGTGTATAAATTCATGAGTATATTGTTGGAAGGAATGCACATGTTGTGAATCTTCTTATTATTGGAACCGACCGACTATTGCCAAAAATAGAAACAAGGGTATGTTTGGGGCAGCTGGAGCATTTTAAAAAACTATAGCGCAGAAGCTGCTTGCAGAAAAAATGTATGTCTGTTTGTTCTGTACAGTTCTGTAGTAGGCAGTTGTTTATGATTAAAAAACTTTTTACCCTTGTATTGTTGTGTTACTTATATGAGAACCAGACCAAGTCGAATAACTCATACATGACAATATAAATTAAATTCAGAATCCCCAAAACTCACAAGTTCAAATATAACACCTAGAACTCATGTCTCACTTAACAGTGAATAACACAATAATCAAAATCAAAAAATAAAACTACTAAAATAATAATTAACATTATCATAATATTAAATTTGAAATACAGACGATCAATTTTACGAGATAACTTCTTCTTTAAAAAAACTCTCCACGTCTGATGACTATCTGGGTGGAATCGTCTAACATATTAAAATCACATATACTCATAATATTTTATGTTGGTGAACCACAACTTTCAATGTAAGCAATTTTTTACTGTTGAACATGTGTGCATCCACATATGTTCCATCAATTGCTTCAATACAATCTTAGGTCATCTATATAACATATTAGAGTTACTGCATCTAAATAAATTTTGAAAAAGATAAACATAGAAATTTACGTTTAAATATGGCATATAATGTTGATAATGTGAAATCTCTATAGAGGTGCTTTGGAATGTAAAGTCTTCAGGTCTGATAACTTTTAAAGATAAGTTGATCAGAGCATTCAAACCAACTGAAAAGTATCGATAAATTATTTTTGATGACCATTGGAATCACTTCATGGCCCCCCTCATAGATTGATTTTATGATAAAATATAGAGGATTGTAGCTAACGCATCTCTTGAAGTCATGCTAGAGGAGTCATGGAGTCCATGATTTTCGTGCAGCTCTTCCAATAGATCAATAAATATAGTAGTGTCATACAGACATGTTAAATCTTGTTGGGTGACCTACAAGCAACTACTCAACTCATTTATCGCCAATGTAAGTGGATGTCATGCAAAAAGTGAGTAATATATGAGTTTTAAAGCTCATACATTAAGCATAATGCAGTTCTAGTTTTTTCTCTTACGTCTTTTTCTATCAATGTTATTCATTGTTGATGTTCAAAAATAAGACAAACAAAACTAAATGACACTGAATTAGTAAATAATATATCAAAAAAAAACATTTAGAATGAAAAGCCAAAAATAATGAAACATTGTAGCACTGGTACATCAAAAATAATATGTCCTACACTAATGTCAGTCAATCATATAAAAGTAAAAAAATACCATAACAATCATACATCTCGATTCTCATAAAAGTAAAGTAAATAGTTAACCATGCGATCGGACGTCATAGACATAAAAATCTCTCTCCAAGTCGGATCTTCTAAAATTTTCATTAAGAAAATGTAAAATGTTATTTCTTCGTAAATTTCTGGAGTTTCTTCTAATATTCTCAGAACTTGTTGAATAGAAGTTGCATGTGACGTGTTAGGTTCATTTGTCCATGAAGCAACTAATTAAAAAATCTAGCTTCTTATGAAAACCGCATCATTTTTTTTTTTCTTCTTCGCAATTATAGGACGAATGGAACGCTAGTAAATTTAGCTTCATTAAAGTTAGGATTCGATCCTTCATTTGAGTATGTTGTTTGTTCATGATCTACATGATCAGTTGTATTAGCGTGCACTCTATCTTAATGTCAATGCATGATCACCTGTGGCCACGACTCCACCAAACATTATGTTTAACATTTCTTTAAGCTTAGGTTCAATGCCACTAAACATAAACTTCTTGGCACTTTGCACGATCTACAAATTGATTGATAGTTGATGTATTTATGACTTCAAAAAAAGAATTTGAAAGCACTTACCGTTTACTACATTTTTACCTCCAATCTCTCAGCCCATAATTCTTCTTAAGCCTCAATGGTTCGTTTTATCAGATCCCATCCTAAGCCTGTTGATCCTCGCTTTGACTCTTTTCATATTTTTCAATCATTTTTAACCAATCCCATTTGTTTTTCAGTCGCATTCTATCATATTCTCTTCCAGTGCTTTCTTTAATTTTTTTCATAATATTTTGTCATCCTTTATTAAACTAGGTGATTGACCTATTTCCCAATTTCACCTCCTTTAGGCAGATATCACAAAAGATTAATTTCACATCTTTATCTCACATAGCAGAAGATCAAATTTATTTTGTCTTGTCGATTATCACTACTAGCATGAAAAGAACTAATCAACATAAGTGTTTATAAACAATATCTTGAACTCATCAAAATATAAATTAACCAAGAAAACAATCTACAACTTCTAAACCCTTTCTCCACATGGCACAAAAGTTATAATAACCACATCTGAAAGCCCACAGCAAACAAGGTAACAAAAAATAACATCTGAAAACCCACAACTAGTAAAATAACAAAGAAATAAAAATATGAAATCTAGCATAATAGCATGCCTTGAGTCAACTCTTTTTTCCAAACTCAAATATAACTAGTCCCATATTTTTCAATCATTTTAATTAACAACATACTCATACATACAACCAAAGAACACCATGAAAGTTTTATTAGAACAAAACTGAAGAACGAGAGTCAGCCACGCTGGCATAAAGACGATGTTGCATTTAATTAAATGTACCCACACGGCAAAAGACAGCTGGTAAAGCTCAACAAAATCACAAAAATATTTTTACAAGTGTCCTACCATATGTACAATAATTACCTCTACTGAATCATCATGAACTTTTATATTAAGAGACCATGTGTCGCATACTCAACTACTATGACAAAAAGAACGGTCAAGAAATTTATGAACCAATTGAAGCATCCAATATAGCAAAGGCATAGACCACATGGCAGAAACCACTCCATGGAATAACCTTACATAGCTCGAGATCAATTGCACATGTATTAGCAACATCCCATACACATAAGTTCCTACTGATCGTCCATCAATTACTAAAGACACAAATCACAAACAGCATAGAACAAACCAACAACAATACACCATCAATCAAGGCCCTGAAAGGAATACACCATCAATCAAGCATTCAATTTTATAAAACTTCAATCAAACAATATTACTAGAAAAATGAATTAGGCTTCTCCCTTCATCAAAAAACAATTTAAATAGCCCCGCTAACTACGATCATCATGGGAAAATGTTTAATGCAATTTATGTTAGGAAGATTTTCAGACATACCACTCAATTCCTATGTATTTGCATATCTAACACTAAACTTCAATTTTTACACACATTCCACTTTACCTATGCATGAAAATTTATATTTCACTTTTCAAAAGTTAAAATAAAGGAATTTTTTTATGTGGAATGAAAGATTTGAGTGGTATTAATGTAAAAAGTAAAATTTAAGGTGCTAGA